GTATGTATGTATGTATGTATGTCTGTCTGTATGTATGTATGTAGGTTGGTATGTATGTATGTATGGTATGTATGTATGTATGTATGTATGTATGTATGTATGTATGTATGTATGTATGTATGTATGTATGTATGTATGTATGTATGTATGTATGTATGTATGTATGTATGTGTGTATGTATGTATGTATGTATGTATGTATGTATGTATGTATGTATGTATGTATTTGTGTGTGTGTATTTGTTTTTTCCCCCTGTACGGCCCATAGACGATCTTGACATGTCTGGCCCGTAACGGCGTTGTGGATAGAATCACCGCTCTAGTGTATCCGTGCTTGTGGAGCACACGCAGACCAAGCTCAGCACAGCCCATCCCAGCAAGCCCCACCAAACGGGCTCCGTGTACGCAGCGATCCCCGCATTCCTGGAGAAACATTGCTGGTGATTGCCATCCTAAACCTGTTGGTCACTGATAAACATCCCAAGTAGGAATGCAGAAACAAGTTATGTTTGAAACATGTTGAAACTATTGGCTGGCAGTTTCGGCATTCGGGATCTTGGCAGTTTCACAGATTATGATCTTGCATGTGAGCTATTTAAGGAACACCTGCCATGCAAACACCAAATGCTAAGATACATCATGCCTGGATGAAAGCCCAGCGTTGCAGCTGAGTTTCAAGATGACCAAAACGAAGATCGCCATACCAGTGGTGTACGAGAGGACTTCATCACCTCATCGATCTGAGAGATATCAGGTACAATGGTCCCCCTACTTAGTTACAGTATAGCTTTTTATAGCTTTTTATAATATTATCCCAGTACAACTGGGCTTCTACCAGAATTCGGGACAGGCGATGGGGCAAAGCAGTCCAGTTGAGGATGGGAAGACGGTCAAAGACTCATCCTTGGGGTCCTCCTTACGACTTGATCCCCATGGAATCAGTTGTTGTAGACCCACCTTTTGGTGATATCCGGCGGTTCATTTTGGCTATGCACCCAGGCATATAGTAAAGTTTCTACTATTTTCCGGAAATATAAACCTGTGGATAGATGATTTGGCAAACAAAGAAAACACATGTCTATTTTCGATTGCCACTTGGATAACCCCTTGGATTCATCTGGCTGAAGAAACTCACCCAAATCTGAATGGTCAAAAAAAACAATGCACATACCATGTACAGTAAATATACGGTACTATAATTGTATATTATATAATTATATATATATAATTCTTATATAAATGAACATTAAACCCAAGATTCATGACACCAATCAATCCCAACTTCCGGGTCCCCAAACGGCTGCCCTCATTGGTGGCATTTACAACAATGGAGGCGATCGCGGCAATGATCAGCAGGATGATGATGAAGCCTGGGCAAAAGGCTGTTTTTTTGCAAGGGAAACCATGTTTTTCTTGGCGAAATATCCATGTGTGCTCGTAAACTCACTGGTTCTGTTGGTTAAAGATCCTTTTTGTCTGGAAAAACAGCTTGTGCAATGCTTGTGCTGTTTCTTGTGTTGGTTCGATGCAGCCAGCCAAGGAACTGGTGAGCTGCAAGAGGAACAACATGAAAAGACCCAATCTGGGCTCTTGTGTCAGCTGATTGGGGCCATCCTGGCACGCACATTTCAAGCGTTTGGGTCCATGTGTGAATTGGGTAGTACTTCCTAAATAACTATCTCAATTGGGAAAATGATCATTATCGCAATTCTGGTGCCCGATTTTCACCCATTTGGGGATGCCTCCAAACTCACCAAACCAGCTGCTTTTCGGTGCTGTAAACTAACCATGTGGCTAACCCACCATATATTTCTAGGGAAACAGCCGTTGCGCCGTTGCGCCTTCTTCAAGCGTTCCTGCGCCTTGTCCTCGGAGAGACCTGCGATGCTGATCCAGGTCGCTCCGTTAACGAATCCCCTGTGTCTTTGTGCAGTGAAAAACCTTCTTGGAAGGGAAAAAAAACACAACACCATGAAGATTGCTATGGGTATCAACCCAAATGGACCCTGATTGTAGGTACCCCGAAAATGATGATTTTTAGATTTGGGGTTATATACCCTGTTATCAGACAAACCCATTTACCACCGTGAGAGATTTATCATCAAAAGGGCAATGCTAATCGACACTTGCACAATGAGATCACTTGAGATTTTTCAAGAGAGGGATCTGCTCGGTGTCAATGTACAAACAGAGGCGAAAAAATCTCCGAAAAACCTCTCGCTTTCCTTGGGCAATGAACAATTGGGTGATGAATCAATATTTGCAGTGGGAAAAAAAAAAAACACTGGCACCTCTATGGGGATCGGTCTTCAGGATAGCACAAATATGCTCGGCCTGCAGATCTTCCACCTGGGTGGACACTGTGGACACTGGTCCCCAAATGGAACATACTGGAAAAGTATAAATGGGATAATGTGGGGAAATCATCTATATAAACGGAGATCAAATGGGATAATACGGGATGATAAATCATGATAAATCGAACATGTTTTTTGGTTATCCCCAAAAAAGATAGAAAAGTAAATGCCTATTAAAATAGTGATAATTCACTGTTCTATCTTTTTGGGGGATTAATTGTTAATCACATTCCCCTATATGATATCCAGCCATGGTTTAGTACGGGATGAAACTACATATTTGGGACCATAGTATAAGGCTTCGTCACATCCCAACAGCAAATCTTTCCCTCATGGGACCCAAAAAAATCAATAGATCCACTGGGAATCCACCCCAGAAGTCCATCATCTTCGAGCCGGCGACTTGAGACACTTTGGGTTAAGGAAAAGTTTACAGCGAAAAAAACTCTTCTCGTTTTCAGATCTCCTCTTTGTTTTGTCCCTTCACCTCTGGCAGTGTCGCAGATCATGATGCAGGTGACTTCAACCAGAAAAAAACCCTCTCGGAGAATGGGGGATCATCCTAGTGGTCCATAACCCAAGTCCCAATTGCGATCGAGAATAAACAGAATGAGTGAAGCCATATCCCAGTTCACCAAGAGTTTCTAAATATAGTTCCTAACCATTTATAGTAACCATATCTTTTCCATCTATATATAATATAATAATATATATATAATATAATATAATATAACCCCTTCTATGTACGTGGTTGTTTGATCAACACTTCCCAGCCAAGAAAAACGATCTGTATCAGAAACCCATTCAAGATATTCAATCATCAAAAACATGAATGAATTATTAATATATAACTATATACATGTAACTATATATAACTGAATATAACTATATATAACTATATACAATTATTTGTAACTATATATAACTATATATAACTATATATAACTATATATATATAATTATAAAAATAATTATATATATATATATATATAAGTTTATATATAATGTGAATCGGAGGTTATCTCCCCGATATGTGCTTTTGACTGTTCCAGAAAGTAATTGCTCTCACCAGTGATGACAAGGGATTTGCAGTTTCGGCATGGCTGTCTTTTCTCACGGAGCTTGCAGTGGTCTTGAGCCAAAAGGGGCATATAATGCGGCCCTTTGGCCCTGGATGATTAAGGGGTATTTACCTGGGAATATGTGTCGTGCTATAGTCTAGATCCCATTCGCACCCCCCACGCATGACCAACTTTGTTGGTCACGCGCAAAGGAGTGTCCCATAAATCTTTCCACTACATCTGCATTTGTTCATCTGTTGAATTACGGAGAGCTAAAGTCCGTTCAGAACTTCAAATCTACATGGCGGCTTGCTACGATCTCTACTAAAATAAAGGCTCTGTTCACATGCACGCTGACAAGACGTAGTCTATGTACAGCATTGAGGTTCATCCGATGTGGCGTAGCCAGCATGGAATCCCACTCAAGCATGAAAATAAAAATCGAAATACGAAGATGACTATGGAACTAGAAGTTTACCTTCCCGTCCCTTCGTCGGTTGAGATGTAGACCGCTGTAGAAACTCAGGGTTTCGTGCAATGATGTTCAAAAAAAATAATGTGGTTCTAAATTGGCCGGCTCAGAGTCCTCTCAGAAATCATTCGAAATGAAGTAGAGGTAAATCTCGAGCAATGATTGCTGCCTCGCTTCGCCAGGTTCAGTCAGGACCTATGCAGAGGTCATATCGACTCATCGTCTATACCCCCATCCATAGTATCCCTGATGATTCCAGTCACCACCACGGTGTGAATAAGATCTTTCACCTTTCCCTTGGTCTTTTCCACCCTTCTGTGGCGGAGGTACTGGAGCTTGTTTCGGCGGAGGAGCAGCTTCGACGGTTCTCCATGTTGCTGATGATGACGCTTTCGCCTTTGACACTCTGCCCAGTGCCGGTGCTGCCTTCGGGGCTGCTTTTGATTTGCCAGCTGCCGGGTTAGCACGTTCACGATCGGCAGGAACCGGGGTATCAGCAATCGCGACCAGGTGGGCTTCTGTCATGTGGATGCCCCATCTTGGTCGTTGATCATCCCGTTGCTTGATGTGGTTGTAGTCATTGATTGCATCATACAGCTTCTGGAGTAGAGGTCGTGGCAATTGTCGGCCATTTTGAAGGATCAGATGCAAAACTGATATTCTTCGAAGTGGTGGTCGAAGAGCACACACTATGTCGACTGGATTCAATGTGATTGTGTCTTGAAAATCGACGTTCCTGAAGAAATAAACAGCATTCACCTTGTATGCACCTGCAATGATTCTTCTGACCATGACGTCTTGTCGGTCAAGGGCTTCGCGGGCAGCTGTGGTCTTTCTCATCTCATCCCTTGTTGTGTCACGTTTCGACAGTTTCTCCATCTCTTCGTCATAGAAGATATTTTGCAAGTCTTCATATGTGTAGCCACATTCAAGGGTATATACGAGAAGTCGTTTGAGTACCACTGCCCCATAGTATGCATTGACGAATCCCTCTTCTCCGATGTCGTCCTTTTGTTGTGGTCGGCCGATTTCTTGGTAGAGCTCTTTCATCTGTTGTGCAGTTGGTTCGATGAGTTCACCATTTTCATCCTCACCTAGGTATGGCACTCTTGAATCCAAGTCCATCCTGAATTTCTGGTTCTGTTGAAAGTGTTTCTCAATGTCTCCACAGAAGTTCCGTTGGAATAGTCTGTAGATCCTGACGATATGTAACCCAATCTGTAACAGGAGGATTTTGATGAGCTCCGGCTGAGCATCTCCAATTGTACAAGGCTCGATTGGCAGGACCTTTGATCCAAACTCAACCCTTTTCAGCCATTTGGGGTACTCAATCACTGCATCATGAGCTTCTCCGGCCTCGTACTCCTCAATATTGATCTCACCGTCTTCTTTCTCTTCATCGTCATTCTCATCAGTTTGTTTTCCTTCCTCATTGAGAAATTTATCGACCTCATCTTGCTCTCTGAAGTCTCTTCTCTCATCATTGATGTCGCCCTTCTTCGAGGCTTGATCATCATTTTCTTCTTCTGGTTGAGGTTCTTGCTCTGGACTCTTCATGGTGACGTCATCATCACCTTGCATCAGTTCGTCGTCATCATCTTCACCTGTCAAATCGATTTTCACTTCCTCCCATGCTTTCTTGACATGGTCTTTGAGATCTTCTTCTCGAGGACGTGATTCGGCATTTGGTACAGTAGCCACGGTGATCTTGATACGCTTCCTCCATCCATGGCTGACCAAAAATCCTTTGCACATCACGCAAATCGATAGTGATGCAGGGGTCTCCATCAGACATGCGGGGCATAGTCGATGGTCCTCCTTGCTGGGATGATGAGTGACTGCTAGCCTTGAGTTTGTGTTTGCAGTTCGCATTGGAATGGCTGCATGAATGTTGCATGGGCTTTGTTGTGGGGAGGAAGCCGGAGCACGAAACCTTGTGTTTTTCCGTGTAAAGTGGCTGCAGGCGACGATGAAAGGTACCTCGTCTGTGCGGCGGGTGCGGCTGGGGTCGTTTCGTTCCTTCAATGTGTTTTGCAACACTGGATGTTCCTGCGTACGTAGTTCTATGCGTTTCTTGAGTTTGTGTTTGCAGATCGCATTGGAATGGCTGCATGACTGTTGCATGGGCCATGTTGTGGGGAGGAAGCCGGCGCACGAAACCTTGTGTTTTTCCGTGTAAAGTGGCTCCAGGCGACGATGAAAGGTACCTCGTCTGTGCGGCAGGCGCGGCTGGGGTCGTTTCGTTCCTTCAATGTGTTTTGCAACACTGGATGTTCCTGTGTACGTCGTTCTATGCGTTTCTTGAGTTTGTGTTTGCAGATCGCATTGGAATGGTTGCATGAATGTTGCATGGGCCATGTTGTGGGGAGGAAGCTGGCGCACGAAACCTTGTGTTTTTCCGTGTAAAGTGGCTCCAGGCTATAATGTAATATAATATAATATAATATAATAGAATATAATATAATATAATATAATATAACATAATATAATATAATATGATAATATAATATAATATAATATAATATATATAATATAATATAAGATAATGTAATATAATATAATATAATATATTATATATATAATATAATATAATATAATATAATATAATATAATATAACATAATATAATATAATATAATATGATAATATAATATAATATAATATAATATATATATAATAC